AATATGTGGTTACAATGTCATGGGTTTAATTTCAAGGGAATGCATGAACTGATCAAATGTATACCTTGAATCAGTGTTATTTTAGTATTATTTATTTAACATTATAGTTTTTGTTAATATTCTGAATAAGATTTTAAAGAATATAATAAGCATTGTCATATATTAATTCTACATGAAATATAAGGTTATGGGTTCGATTCCCACGGAATGCATGAACTGACAAACAAATACACCTTGAATCAGTGCTGTTTTTAGTATCATTTTTTAAATGTTATAGCTTTTGTTAATATTTTAAATCAGATTTAATTTTTAATAAAATTATTTATTTTGGAAGACCAAACAAAGTATTTTCGCTTTCACAACGAAAAACACGGCGGCCTAGTGTGAGTGGAAGCTGCGGCTTAGCGTGAGCTGAGACCGAGCTAGAGTGAGCAGCGGCCGGCAGATTCGACGAAGGAGCGGCAACCACATGTGACGACCCTGGGCTGGACTCCGCTTCGTCCACGGTGAAAGCCGTTCCGGTGATCCACAGTGAAGTTGATGTATTTCCTCAGCGACCAGCACGGATCAGCTCTAGGCATGACGAAGCGGATATCGTCCTCTTTTGGAAGACCAAACAAAGTAGTTTCGCTTTCACAACGAAGCACACAGCGTCTTCACGACATGGCGGCGGCAACAATACTACAGCGAGAATAAAAGTTACGCCTTCTTTCTTTGCGTGAACATTTGGGAGGCGTTATGCAAATCTTCCCACATCGTGATGTAGACATGTGGGGGCGTGTTAGAACGAGGCGTTTTAGGTAGGTGTGGCTGACTCTTAACTTTTATAAAGAATATCTCTTTGGATTTGAGACTTTAGTCTTTGCAACTTTACAGATCTTCTTTATGCACCAAGAGCTTGTAACACTCCAAAGAGAAAGGAAAACTTGAAATCGCATCATATGACCCCTTTAATATTGTATCAATTTTGTTGTGTATTTTTTGTCATTTTTGTTATTTTAGTACTTAAAAATGTTGTCTGGAAACTAGCTGAAGTTCAGTAAGTTTGTTTTTTATATTTTATTTTATTTCAGTAACTGTTTATTTTATTTCAAGAAACAGAATTTCTTGAATATGGTTTTATTTTTTATTATTTCATATTCTTAATTTATTTTAATATGTTTAAAGTTCAGATTATTTCACATGCCCTTAGTATGTACATTTTATTAAGTATTTACTAAGTGTTTTTTCCAAACCAGTAGGTGTCAGTATTCTGTAAAGTCACTGTAAAGTTTTGCTAGTTTAGATAGAAAAATAAGAGCATAGAACATAAGCATAAACTTTTAAAATGTTACTTTCAGTATCAGACAGATAAAAATCTGTCACAAAAATCTTCCTTTAAACTGCCAGTGATTCTGTTTGTGTATACATTTCTGTTTTTGATTGTTTATAATTGTTTTGTGTGGTCTGATTTTCTTTCTGCAGATGATCTGTGTGAGCGAGAATGTTCCGTTTTCCTCGGGAAGACAGACTTTGCCACATGATTCTCTGAACCCTTTTCCTCATTCTGTCTCATGAGATTGTCCATGCTGTTCGGAATGAAATATTAGCCAACTGCTTACATATTGAGCAGTATGTACTGCATGCTCAAATCAACATGTTAATAGCATGCAATATGCAATCATTTAAACATATATTTGCATTGTATGCAACATTATGTGCATGTGTAATTCTCACATGCATCAGGGATATGCATTCATCATATCTCATATCTCAGTAAAGATCTCAGTTTTATTATGCAATAAAAATGCTAAACTTGGATGTTTTCCCGCATTGCTTATGTGGAGCCAGACCTCTAAAGCTTCAAACCTCTTCAGCAAAAACTGTGGCTTTTCATTCAGTCGTTCCCATTCAGCCTGGTCCATTTCTAAACCACCAAAGTAATGGATCATTCTTAAATACATGCAACAAACTTTGTTGTATTGTGGTTGAATGATACGTCATTTCAATGCTGTGGTCTAAAATGTTAATACTATGGTATGTTTTTGTTACTGAAAGGACTGTGCATTATTATCATGAGCCCAAATTAACAGTAAGCTAATAATTTTGTAGAGTAATTTGTAACTAAACTGCTTAGTAGAGCAGATGAACTGTTGAGGTTGACCTGAGTTCATCTCTCTACAGTAACTATAACTAACTATAGCAAGACCACATGCAGCTGTCTGAACATGTGGCTTTCATAGAAGTATCATGACACTGTACAAGAACATGCACAGAGAAAAATAAGCATCTATCTATCTATCCTATTTATTTATTTAGATATATTTTGAATTTGTATCCAATTTCAGTCATAATCAGATCTTGTAAATTCCAGCATAGAAGATATAAAGTACAGATTCTGGCTCATTTACACTATCGATTAAACAATATTAAATGAACATAAAAAAAAACAAATGGAATAAAAAAGTGCCAATTTTTTAACTATTTAAAAATCATATTAAAGTTAGCACTACAACTGCTTACAGTAATATGTACAAGACACACACACACACACAGATTATGGTTACAGTAGGCCTAACCCATGTTTTTACAGTATATGCATAGTTATCAATAAACAAAAAATAAATGACTTTTACAATACACTGACGTTTACAAATCACTAAGTTTACACTAATCTATCCTAGATAAGTTCACCTGAACTCCTGTCTAGATAGATAGATAGACAGACAGACAGATAGATAGACAGATAGATAGATAGACAGATAGATAGATAGACAGATAGATAGATAGACAGATAGATAGATAGACAGATAGATAGATAGACAGATAGATAGATAGACAGATAGATAGATAGACAGATAGATAGATAGACAGATAGATAGATAGACAGATAGATAGATAGACAGATAGATAGATAGACAGATAGATAGATAGACAGATAGATAGATAGACAGATAGATAGATAGACAGATAGATAGATAGACAGATAGATAGATAGACAGATAGATAGATAGACAGATAGATAGATAGACAGATAGATAGATAGACAGATAGATAGATAGACAGATAGATAGATAGACAGATAGATAGATAGACAGATAGATAGATAGACAGATAGATAGATAGACAGATAGATAGATAGACAGATAGATAGATAGACAGATAGATAGATAGACAGATAGATAGATAGACAGATAGATAGATAGACAGATAGATAGATAGACAGATAGATAGATAGACAGATAGATAGATAGACAGATAGATAGATAGACAGATAGATAGATAGACAGATAGATAGATAGACAGATAGATAGATAGACAGATAGATAGATAGACAGATAGATAGATAGACAGATAGATAGATAGACAGATAGATAGATAGATAGAGAGATAGATAGATAGATAGATAGATAGATAGACAGACAGGCTGTGGTGACGTCATCACCTCCGTGCGCTCGTGAGTGAAGCTGCTGCTGATGCTGGAGTTGAGATGTGAGTCCAGATCCTCCTTTGGCTTGATGCTGTAGTTCCCATCAGGCTCAGCGTTTCTCTCAGACTCCTGCAGCGACAGATAAAGCCAGTCGAAAAGACTCATCTTCCTTATGGATCAGTCCAGCTCAGAATAAACAGGTGGTGTTTGTCGATGTGTGCCAGCAGGCTGTGGCACTGTTATCGGCTCACACTGAACCCATTGTTGCTCAATGACAAGACGGGCCAACTCGTGCTGCTCTGAGGAGGAGGGTTCAACACTCGCCCCACTTTACCAATCCTGCTGTGCTCAAGGGTTGCCTCATGAATATTCATAAGCTGTGGCGTCGCCATTGGAAGGTTACCAAGAGACGTCATCATAATGTAATTAATATTCAAAAACACATTTCGAGGATTCACATGAGCGTTGGCACTAATTAATATTCATGAGCTGAGACCCTTTTTTTTTACATTTCACGCAGATATCATAAAAAAAAAACCTTCATTCATGATTTATTAAAATGAACAATTTTGTAACAATTCAACTTTTCTAGGCTATTTTTGTGTAAAGCGTGTAACGCAAGACATCCTAGAGTAAATAACATATTTATAATAACTCATTTTAACACAAATTAAATATAAATTTAAAATGAACAAGGGGAGTTTCTCTGTTTTTTATAAAATATAAATCAGACACACAAACCAGTTTTTGCACTCATTAAAACCTATTGCAATAAAGTTCTCTAAAAGCTATATATAGGCTACTATAATACAGCCAGATGTCTGGCATCCTTACAAAAACTGTAGGCTACCATGGTAAATATATGTTTTTAATAATCATAATATATTGCTTTGCATTACATTATTTTATTGTATAGTCACAAATTGACTGTACTTGTGTACAACTGCAACTGTTTTTCTAAATTTTTGATAACTGCTATTCTATTTTTCAAAGTTTAATAAGCTTCATGTTTATTTTCATATTTAAGTTACCTTTTGAATCCCAGTGTGTTTTATTGTTGTGTCAGACTTATGGAACTCATTTTGTGACTTAATTTGATTAAATCAGTTTAAAATCCGACCCTGACTCAATGCAGATTCTGCCCTCTGGTGTTCATGTCAATCTACTACAGGCTGTTTAGAGCAAAGCAGTTAAACTTTGAGAAATGTGACGCTCCTTTTGTCTCTCTCTGTGTGTGTGTGTGTGTCTCTGTGTGTGTGTGTGTGTGTGTGTCTCATATTTACATTACATATTAACAGAAATATTATTTCATATTGTAAGAATTAAAGGAGTTTTAAAATGAAATCTTTGGTTTATTATGGTTTGTGTGATGTTTTGTAAAGCTCAGGGCAAGCCTGGGAAATTCTTAGAAATGGTGTTTCCCTTCCTTATCTGGACGTGATGATGTGCAGCTGTCAGGACGCACCTGACATAAACGTGACCAGTTTTTCCACTGCTGTTCACACATGCTTCTGAAGAAAACTCAAGCCAAACCCATAAGGCTCTTTTATTTCTATACATGCTTATCTGAATGAATGAGAGGCTGGGACAGATGTGAGTCACATGACACAGCTGGAAGAGAAGAGGAGCGTCTGTCGTTTTCATGCAAATGTTTGTTTGTTTGTTTATGTTGGACAACCACCTTCTTTCAAATTGAGTGTCATGGTCAGTATTAGTCATGCGAGGAGGATTTTCTCTGTTGGTTTATATGATATAGATCTGCCACACAAACCAGTTTCTGCACTCATTAAAACCAAATGTAATACAGTTCTGCAGAAAGAATGAGGTATACAAATATTAGCCTATAATACCTTCAGATGTCTGGCATTCTTACAAAAACTGGTAACTATAGCTTTCAGCAAAATATTGTCCAGCTTGAAAGAGTTGTCACTATTTGGAAAGCTGATTCAAGAGCATAACCCAGCTCACAGGGAACGTTCTGGCAAGGTTCTCTCAAAGTTACGAACAAACATTCTTCCATTAACGTTAATAGAGCGTTAGTTTGAAGTTATCTGGGCTGTAACAGTCTTCTCAAAAGCGAGCACAGAAACATACACATCATTCGTGGAATTTTTGCCTAAACGTTTTGGTTAGAAGTGTGTCTAATGTTACATGTTTCAGAACGTTCAGAGAACATTCAGAAGTAACGTTCCCGTAACGCTTGCAAAATGATCAAATGGAATGTTACCTTAACGTCTGTTTAACGAAGAAAAAAAATTACATTTACAAAATTGGACGTTATTTAACTTAATACCTAAACGTAACAACTTAATGCAAAACGTTCTTAGAACATATTTTGGTTAGCTGTGAAATATGACTGCTACAGACTAAAAGTAGCAACTTTTCGATTAGTTCTTAGAAATTAAAACTAAAAACAATACAAGCAGAACGCCCTGGTAAAACCCCACAATAGCCTAGAATCATTCAAGCAATCCTTTTCTCTTTTTTTCTTAAAAAGCAATCCTGCAGGACAGGGATGTGTTTGATTAAGAGAGAGAAGAGAAGAGAAGAGAAGAGAGAGAAGAGAAGAGAGAGAAGAGAAGAGAAGAGAGAGAAGAGAAGAGAAGAGAAGAGAAGAGAGAGAAGAGAAGAGAGAGAAGAGAAGAGAGAGAAGAGAAGACAGGATCGGGTCACACCCACCGTGACACACTGCCGCCCTCCACTTCCTCATTTTTACTCCATACTTACGACCTCCAACCATCACATCACATCACATCACACACACACAGCCCAGTAAGTTGTACATTTACAATGTTTCTTACTGCGTTAAAATGACAATACATCGAGCGTTTCGTTTCGCGCGTTTGTGGCGTTTTCAGCGTGACGCGCGCTCGATACAATGTAACACAATGTAACTTTTTGCGCATGATTCCGTGTTAAGCACGTTCTTTAGATGTGTGCTAGCAAAACAATGTCGAATGTTATAAATGTTTGCAGTTTAAGATGTGTGTTTTCAGATTGTTTGGGGGTATGTTGTGTAATCCGAAATATTCGGCTGCCATTTTTCTGTCCGTCTGTGTCTGTGTCTGTGTCTGTGGGCTGATGCGGATTTGCCGAAGGGTCAAAGTCAAACAGTGTGTACTGTAGTATGTAGTATGCGACTGTCAGAGTGTGAGTGTCTCAGTACGTTTAGACATGAGATGTGCTGCATTTCTCTCATGAAGTAGTGAGATGATGATGACTTGTGATCATGTAAAGCAGGATGTCAGGCGTGTGCGTGACTGCAGAGCTGAGCTTCACTGCGGTTCAACAAGAACAGTGTTGCCAGATTGGATTGAAGAGCTCCAGTCCAACTACAGCGAAAACCCGCCCGTTTAAAAACATAATGAGCCCGTAATGGGGTGTTGGGGGTAATATATTACAAGTAACGCGAGTTACGTAATCAGATTACTTTTTTTCAAGTAACTAGTAAAGTAGCGCATTACTTTTTAATTTACAAGAGAATATTTTTCAAATAAGTTATGCAAGTTACTTTTTTTCCAATTTATTGATTGACAGCTCTCCTGTCCCCATGCTGAGAGAAATCAGAAGATGTTACTGTAGTTCTAAAATAAATATGAATATGCATTAATTCATCTCACTCACA